ATATATATAACACTTGTCACTTACTTATTTGATGTGAATAAACACAATGCATAACTATATACTCCCATTTTGTTGAGATAAGTTCGTTCATTATACATTTTTGCTGAGAACAGATTTTTTTCGCCTATGAATCCTCCATAGCTATAGAACAGTTACTCCTTCCATTTCTCTGACCTTATAACTAACTCTATCTTCTTCTTCTCCGCAAATATTGAAAACCTAAATTCTGAAAACTCCCAGTTTCAGTTCTGCATCTTCTCGGAGAAGCAACAATGGAGTATTTCACCTAAAACTCAAATTTCTACGTAAATCGGACAATTTCTCGTCAAGTATTAGGGTTTAATATCCCCCAAAACGTTAACCGAAGAATAATCGAGGAATTATAAGAATTAATTGAGTAATTAGAAACAAAATTAGATCGTCTGTTTGTTGAAATCAATATTGTTATACTGGAATTATGATGTATGGAGATAATGAATATGTTGATGATAGAGATATGATGCAAGTAGAAGACGAAGGAGGAGAAGGAAGAGGTGATGGTGATGAAGATGAAGATGAGTCACAGGAGATAACTCAGGACGATGCATGGGCTGTTATTAGTTCATATTTTGAAGAAAAAGGACTTGTGAGGCAACAATTGGATTCGTTTGATGAGTTTATACAGAATACAATGCAGGAAATTGTTGATGAAACTGCTGATATCGAAATTCGGCCTGAATCTCAGCATAATCCTAGTCGTCAAGCTGATTTCGTGGAGGTTTTTTTTGTTCACACTCTTTAATTAAGTTCGTTTCATAATGGTGTTTATATTGCAGTGTTCTATGGATTTCCTGCGGGATAGGCTTAGTGGTCGTACTTGTACCTGTTTTCTTATCAGTAGTATTAGCAGTATTCTCGTAGTTCTTTGATTTCAATTATCACTTGTGCTTTAGTTATGCATTACACTGAGTATGTTGTTATTGGATTTGTAGTACATTGTGCTTAATGTCGGTTTAGTTGCATCTCTATAAGCAAATTAGAGAATAATAGCTTCATTGAATTGATTAATTTGTTCTAAACAACTGAAATCGAATCGTGATACAACAGCAGCACCTGAATCTCAAGCTAGTTGTGGTTGATTAAGTATTTTTTAGCTGCATTTCATTCCACTACTCAATAGAGATTCTCTACACCTAGCTTATACCTATCATTGCACTATCATACAATGTCTACTAAAATAGAAAACTCGTGTCGATTACTGGATCTAATGCAAGTGTTCCAACAGTGATTAGCATTAACAATAAGTCCTTGATTAACTGGCATTGCCTATACATATAGTTTGCTTCCATTATTAATTTACGCTAGGACGTAATATCTTAAATTGGAAAGGATGAAATGAGGAGAGTAAAGAAACAAATTACTCTTTCACTTTACCTGTATATACTTTTCTTTTCCAAATTTTGATCTGGATAGGCACTCATGAATGGTAATAAATTTTAAAAATTTACTTTCTGTTTTCTTACCATGTTATAATTCTGTAAATTTTAGTCTTGTATTACTCTTTGATGTTAAAATGATGATTTAAGTGTTTTTGGTTCTAATTTTGCAGACAATCTATAAGATCAAGTTTACTCAGATATACTTGAGTAGACCTATGATGACAGAGTCTGATGGAGAGACTAATACTTTGTTTCCAAAGGCTGCAAGGTTAAGAAACTTAACATACTCTTCCCCGCTATACGTTGATGTGAAGAAGGAAGTAATAAAGAAAGGTCATGACTATGAAGAAGTGACAGAAAATCAGGAATTTACCAAAGTTTTCATTGGAAAGGTAGTAAAATGTGGATGCATCAACTGATAGTATTAATATATTTTATTTGGGGATCCCTTAATGCTTTGAATTTCAGGTTCCTATAATGCTTCGATCAAGCTACTGCAGCTTGTATAACCTATCGGAGAAAGATTTGACAGAGTTGGGAGAGTGCCCTTATGATCAAGGTGGATACTTCATAGTCAATGGGAGTGAGAAAGTTCTGATTGCACAGGAAAAAATGAGCAATAATCATGTCTATGTATTCAAGAAAAGACAACCAAACAAGTATGCTTATGTGGCAGAAGTTCGGTCTATATCCGAGGGCCAAAACAAGGCACCTAGTGGCATGTTTGTTAGGATGCTTTCTAGGTCTAATTCTAAGGTTGTAAAACTTAACTCATTTCAAGAATAGTTACGTGCTTGTTGCCATAATTCAATTTGCTTTAGTTCTTAAGGAACTTTTCTCTGCTTTGTGACAGGGGGCGTATGGCCAATATATTCGTGCCACTCTTCCATACATACGGGCTGAAATTCCAATTATAGTTGTCTTCAGGGCATTAGGATTTGTAGCTGACAAGGATATATTGGCGCATATTTGTTATGATTTTGCTGACACTCAGATGATGGAATTACTTCGCCCTTCCTTGGAAGAAGCTTTCGTGATTCAAAATCAGCAGGTGGTGTTCTAGTTTTGTTGAGTTCTCGTGATAGTATCTTGTCATTTTAACTTAACTATTTATCTTATATATTTTGGTAGGTGGCACTTGACTATATTGGCAAAAGAGGATCTACTGTTGGTTTCACAAGAGAAAAGAGAATCAAGTTGGGAAATTCTTGATATTCAGTGCTGAAGCTTTTGTGCTTCTCGGTTTCTTAGAAGAACTTTTCATCTGTATTGCAGGTATGCCAAAGAGATTCTCCAAAGGGAAATGCTTCCACATGTTGGTACTAGAGAATATTGTGAAACTAAGAAAGCCTTCTATTTTGGGTGAGACTATGATCCTGGATTTGGAATTTGCAAAAATTGTTAAATAATTAATGACAGATAGTTGCATTCTTTTTTACCAGCTACATCATCCATCGTCTTTTACTCTGTGTACTGGGACGGAGGCCTGAAGATGATAGGGATCATTATGGAAACAAAAGACTGGATCTTGCTGGCCCTTTACTTGGTGGTTTATTCCGAATGGTCTGCAGTTTGTTGTAAATGTTTTGGTTGGACAAGCTAAGGAGAAGTTTCTACTTATAATAAATGTTGATATTTACGCAGCTATTCAGGAAGCTAACAAGGGATGTGAGATCCTATGTTCAAAAGGTTACTATCTTAGCTCCTTTTTGTGCTCTATCTATTTGCATATATGGAGCTTCTGTGAAATAAAGCAATCTACTTTTGTGGGCGAGCCAGTGTGTTGACGGTGGAAAGGATGTGAATTTGCAATTTGCCATTAAAGCAAAAACAATTACAAGTGGACTTAAGTATTCTCTTGCTACTGGGAACTGGGGACAAGCAAATGCTGCTGGTACCAGGGCAGGAGTTTCACAGGTGAGCTAATACTACTTGTATATACTTATTTTCTTTTTCATCGTTTCTCTTCTTACATTATTGTATACATATGCTTACACAGGTTTTGAATCGTTTGACATTTGCATCTACTCTTTCTCACTTGCGTAGATTGAACTCACCAATAGGGCGGGAGGGTAATTTTCTCTTGCTCTTAGAATTGACTTCATTTGTTCCTTTTGGTAGTTTCTTTGTCATCAATGTTGTATACCTTGGTAACCAGGTAAATTGGCAAAACCTAGACAGCTTCATAATTCTCATTGGGGAATGATGTGTCCAGCAGAAACGCCCGAAGGACAAGTAACATAATACACGACACTCATTTATTGATTAAGTTTGCATGATTTTATGAATATTACAACATTTTGTCTGCTTCTGATGTTAGGCATGTGGACTGGTAAAGAATCTTGCTTTAATGGTGTATATAACAGTAGGATCAGCAGCAAATCCAATTTTGGAGTTTCTAGAAGAGTGGAGTACAGAAAATTTTGAGGTGTGCAATTCCTGGAAGATGCTCATGGATCACAAAGTTCTAAATTTTGTGACAAGCTTATGACACTCTTTAACTTTAGGAAATATCTCCCGCGGTTATTCCCCAATCTACCAAGATTTTTGTAAATGGTTGTTGGGTTGGCATTCATCGTAATCCAGATCTGTTGGTTAGGACACTGAGACAGCTGAGGAGACAGGTTAATACCACATTAATTTCTTCCCTTTCTGATGTCAACATACTCTCGATTGATTGTTCCTGTAAGTTCTAGATATTTGAGTTATGAGAATTTTGACATTTGTTCTCTTTTAGGTTGATGTTAATACTGAAGTTGGAGTTGTCCGCAATATAAATCTGAAGGAACTGAGGCTGTATACAGATTATGGACGTTGTAGTAGGCCGTTATTCATAGTTGATAAAAAGAGATTGAGGATAAAGAAGAAGGATATTGTCGCACTGCAAATGAGGGTATATACTGTTTAGCAAGATTGTTACATTCTATATTTGTTAGTCCCATTGATCTTGCTTGTGCTGATTTCAGGAGTCAACTGAAGATTCTGGCTGGCATGATCTTGTGGCGAAAGGATATATTGAGTATGTTGATACTGAGGAGGAAGAGACTACAATGATCGCAATGACCATAAATGTAAGAAGTCATGAACTACACCTAGCTATACAATGTATTATTCCTAGTACTGACCAAAAAAAATGTTGCTGCCCGTTGAAGCTTAATCATCCATTTCTTGAGTTTTAGGTTCTTCTTATTCAGGAAGAGATAGAGTTAGTGTTCTCAGACTCAGAATTTCTTTAAAACTATTTTCATGTTTAATGTTTTAGGATCTTACAAATTCAAGGCTGAACCCAGATGAGGCTTATGCGGAGACCTACACACACTGTGAAATCCATCCATCTTTGATATTGGGAGTGTGCGCTTCAATCATACCATTTCCAGATCATAACCAGGTGAATCAATATGTTTTGTGAGTCCCTTTGGGTACATTTGATAAAAATAAGTTACTGTATTTTATGGTATGTCTTCGATACATATTTAGTCAAGTCTGTACACCATCTTAATCTACATTCCTTCTCAAATAGTATCTGTTTTCCTCTATTAAACCCTTCCATTGGCTTCTGCTTTATTGTCTTTAATTTTGACGTGTTGCAGTCCCCTCGTAACACATATCAATCCGCTATGGGAAAGCAAGCAATGGGGATTTATGTCACCAATTACCAATTTCGGATGGTAGGCTATGTTTTCTCTGTTCTGCGAGCTTTCCTTTGTTCTTCAGGCACTTTCCAGAATTAAGTGTTCGCGTTCTTGATTATTTCTGATTTAAATAACAGGATACATTGGCCTATGTACTGTATTATCCACAAAAGCCTCTTGTTACTACGCGAGCTATGGAGCATTTGCATTTCAGGCAGCTTCCAGCTGGCATTGTAATTAAGCACCAGCTTATTGCTTGTTTTCATTCTTAACTTTCTTGCTTTATAGTGATAATAATCTTTTCCTGTTGGATTTGCAAAAGAATGCCATTGTTGCCATTACCTGCTATTCTGGCTATAACCAAGAAGATTCCATCATCATGAATCAATCTTCAATTGACCGTGGCTTCTTCCGCTCTCTATTTTTCCGTTCATATAGGTATGTAAGTTTCATTTCTACTTCATATTATCTGCTGTTTCTTCCTCTGATCAAGCTCCTGTCTCCCTTTACCGTCAATAGGGATGAAGAGAAAAAGATGGGAACGCTTGTTAAAGAGGATTTTGGGCGTCCTGATAGAGAACATACCATGGTTGGTTCTTTATTTTGGTCACTCTCTTCCTCCCCATCCCATCCCTTGTTCTAAGGACATTATTTACGACAAATGAAGAAAAGAAATAAACAATAAAGATAATAGGTGTGTTTTTTATAAGAGTAAATCTATCTTCTACTTGTATAATGTTGGATTATGGTTGCTATTTCTTGCAGGGAATGCGACATGGAAATTACGATAAATTAGAAGATGACGGATTTGCACCTCCTGTTAGTATTACTATCAAACACGAATTCATCATTCTGATTCACTAATATGTGCTTGAAATTTTAATCACTGGTAAGTTCTTACTGATGCCAGGGAACAAGAGTTTCTGGTGATGATGTCATTATTGGAAAGACCACACCTATTTCTCAAGATGAGGCTCAAGGACAATCTGCAAGATACACGCGCAAAGACCATAGTACCAGTCTACGACATAGTGAAACTGGAATTGTGGATCAGGTCCTCCTGCTAGTTATTTGTGCTTCAATTTTCCTATCTCTTCCACAATTAGGGGAACTCATCTCTGAACGAGAACTCTTTTTTTCACATTTCTTGTTGGCCATTTTATTTCAACTTTAATCATTTGTTAACTGTCTTGTTGATAAGTTGTTTCCTTGCTTTCTATAGGTTCTTTTGACAACAAATGCAGATGGATTGAGATTTGTCAAAATAAGGATGAGATCTGTCAGAATTCCACAGATTGGAGACAAATTCAGCAGCCGGCATGGACAAAAAGGAACCATTGGAATGACTTATACACAAGAAGACATGCCATGGTCCGCTGAAGGCATCACCCCAGATATTATTGTGAATCCACATGCTATCCCTTCTCGTATGACAATAGGTCAGCTAGTTGAGTGCATCATGGGGAAGGTTGCTTCTCACATTGGAAGGGAAGGAGATGCTACCCCTTTCACTGATGTTACTGTAAGTTCAGGAAGTCTCTTCTGGAAAACAAAGTTTTCATATAATTGTAAAAGCAATTGAGACAATACAAATCTTCAGATTTATATAATAAATGAGACGAAAACTGTCTTTGAGTTAATACATTTCGAGATGAAAAAATGTACCAGGAGGTTCCTGAACTATTGGTTTATCAAATTCTATTAGGGGTTAATACTAATTCATGAATATGAGATGCCAATCACTTAGAAGTTTTTTGATTATATGGGAGATTGAATATGAATTATTAATCATTCAATACTTTCAGGTGGATAGTATCAGCAAAACTCTACTCCAGTGTGGCTATCAGATGCGTGGTTTTGAGAGAATGTATAATGGTCATACAGGTCGTATACTAAGTGCAATGATATTCTTGGGGCCAACTTACTACCAGAGATTGAAGCACATGGTGGATGACAAGATCCATTCTCGTGGCCGTGGTCCTGTGCAGATTCTCACTAGGCAGCCTGCTGAAGGGAGATCTCGCGATGGAGGACTACGATTTGGGGAGATGGAACGTGACTGTATGATAGCTCATGGAGCTGCACACTTCCTTAAAGAGAGACTGTTTGATCAAAGTGATGCTTACAGAATTCACGTATGCCAGCAATGTGGTTTAATGGCTATTGCTAATCTGAAAAAGATGTCATTCGAGTGCAGATCTTGTAGGAATAAAACTGACAATGTTCAGGTACAATCCCTCCTCCTCTTCCTGCACCACTTGTTTAACTGCAATATCCATATTGTTAAAGATCGTAAAACTTAAAACGTTTTCTGAATGTGTAGGTGTATATTCCCTATGCCTGCAAGCTTCTGATTCAAGAGCTCATGTCAATGGCTATTGCCCCAAGAATGCTTACAAAGGAATTGAAACCATCAAATGGAAAGTAAGCATCCTGACAGCACCACTTCTTTCACACTCCAGTTCTGCACTTGGTCATCACACATCTATCTACTGGACTAAATAAAGATGTTTCAGACTCCAAACTCGTTCCTATTGTTCTCAATAGCTTATGCGTCTACGTTAAAGAGGATGGAAATCGGTAGAACTTGTGACTTACGCGAAATACTCTTATCCTCACAAGTAATGACATGATCCAGAAACAAACTTAGGATCTTTTTGGACGTGTTTTCCTATTTTTCAAAATATTGTTTGGTTATAACATTGGACTGGCTTTGACCAGCTTCAAGTGAAATGCAATTCGACTTCAAAATGTTAAAACTTCTTTTTCTAATTTTCAACCAAATCTATGTCCAAATGACTTATTATCACCTCTTTTTAATTGTCTGATCTTCACAAGATTGAAGGATGCAGACTTGTTATATTAAGGTTATACTTAAAAATAAGACTTATGGGAAACTCAATGTATTACTAAAAAAGTGAACAGAAGGATAACAATAAGATAACAGCAAAATAAGAGTACAATTTTCTACTAGAACATAAAAATAACATCTTCATCAAGAACTTGCTCAATATGAAATAGAATCCAGCTTGTCCAGTGTCTTCTCAAGATCTTCTTTAAGGCTACGAATTGCTATCTTAAGCTCCTCCACATTTTCCAACAATTCATCTTTAACAACTGAGAAAAACTGCATTCAGCATTGCAGTGCTGCAAAATCAACGGACTATTAGTATAACAAAATTATATTCCCAAGTACAACTAACAACTCTTATCAAGAAGCTGCAACCAAATAAAACACACAAAAATGGAAATGTACCATAGGACATGCAAAATAAACTTGTTTCTCAGTTGCTCGAGGAACTGTTCCTTGGAGCACATCCAGTAATTCGTTGAGGTTGGATGGTATCTCAGTTACTTTATCCTCCGTAGCTGTAGAAACTGCTCCTGTGGGCAAGGCCTGCATTTCATTGGAGTCTGACAGTTCAATGTTTTCAGCAGATGAAGCATTTGATGATGGCGGGGAAAAAACAACTGGTAATTCAGAGACTAGTTGAGCAGCATCATTCATTCCTTCAACTGCCTCAGTAGATTGATCATGGATCATGACATTGTTTTCTTCTTCCTTAATACTCTCATTGGACATCACGTTCACGGAGACTAATGGAGCAGTGTCTTTCTTTACCTCATGAGGTTCAACATCAGACTCTACACTTCCAACAATGCAACTAGAATTCTGAGACTCTTTCAAAATTTCTTTATCTTGATCATTTGTATTAACATTCAACAAAGGCTCTTCATTTGCTTCAATAACATTATCCATCACAGAAACATCAGCAACTACTCCTATATCGCGCTTGCCAACAGTATCTGCTTCATTTGCTGCCAATACTTCCACATCAGTCGCCACACCAGGCACGACAACAGGTACATCCCTAAAAAAGAACCCTCTATCTTTATCATAGTCCAAAATAGAATTATCATTATCATAAATTAGATCATGGTACCTTTCAAAATTTTCCTCAGGCTTCATGACATCAGATATTAGCTCATTTTCTTGTGAAATTCCACTAGATTCAACATTTTCCATAATGCAACCAGTAGCCTTAGACAAAACAGGATCATCATTTGACACTAAAATATCCTCATTAGATGTAACATCCACTTCATTATTTTCTTGAACAGTATTAGAATTATCAGATACTTCTTCAATTGTGTTCTTAACTTCATTCAAATCAACCCCTTCAATCAATTTCGTAGAAACTGTTGTTAACAACGCGTGAAAAAAAAACAGTAATCAGAAAAAAGAAATTTATTTAAGTTGTAAAATTAGAACAGATAAGAAATGTACCATCAGTTTCTTTTGCCTGTGCCTTAAATTCATTAGGAACTTGTACTATTATATTCTTGGCTTTGTCCAATTCCTTGTCAACAGAAGTTGCTTCATGCCAAACAGCCCCTTTAGCCAATTCTTCAATTGGTATAGTCACTTTGACAACAGAAACTGTAGTAAACTCTGCATGAAAGAAAAAAATCACCAAAAAAAAATAAAATCACATCAACTAGAATTTGTTGCAAGAGTTATTCAAAATTGTACTACAAAATCTGTATTGTTTATTTAGTTCATGTCTAGTTAAGATTCATAATCGTGTTCATATAGGAACACACATTCTAGTTTCATACTGTTATGAATAGGGACGTTACAAACTATTTCCATCTAGTAAAAAAATAGTGGAGAATTGTAGCACATATTCAAAGATTTACCAAGTTATGAACAAACTATTTGGAAAATCACACTCTGTGTTTATTAGGAACTTATTTTTACATCACATAGACAATTTACCTTGTATTTATGTATGAACACTTTTCATATACTATTTTATACAAAGTATAACATTATATTTTAGTCTGTGTGACGTAATATTTTATGTTTGGATCATTTATATTAGAAAAGATAAGAGAATGGAATTTTTAAAAAGAACAAAATTACCTTCATTTTGTTTTGTTTCATTCTTCCTCTTGGCAGCTCTCCTCTTTTTTGGACCAGATGGCATTTTTGTTTCTACTTTTTCTCACAATTTATTTTAGATTATTAATATATGATGAAGAATAATTAGAAAGGGTGTTGTGTATATATAGGTAATTATAATAAGTCTCTTAAAATTCTGTGACTGTTTTAGTTGAACTAATTAAATAAGGACTAGTTCATGAACGGTTGATTGCACTTCCCATTAATCTTAATTAAAGTGTAATTTTCCTTATTCCCTAAAATTGTTGGGAATATAGAAGAAGAAAAAAGGTGATGCAAATGACTTGACTGAACAAAAAATTGATTATACAAATATAATCTAAAAAAAATATTAAAAATAAATAAATAGAAACATGAAGTAGAAATTTGCAGTCAGCTATTCTTTGGGTGCACATTAGGTAAATCTATTTTTGTGCAATGACTAACAAGGAAATCGATCTTCGACGTTCCTTATATAATACCATCTGCACCAATTCAGCCATCCTTACCAATTCAGCCATCTTTATGCCTCTAATTTAATTCTTGCTAATGAGTTCTGTGAGAATTGTCTTTTCCTTACATTTCTAGGCTTAAAGTGAACAACTTTCTTTAAAATTTTAAGTAAAAATAAAGATATATTGAAATGTTTATGCTTTTTCACCACAGTATCTTTTTGAGTGCTTTCCTTTGTGTGTGAGTTACAAGGAGGACTTTACGTTTTTGGCATTTGACTTTGGTGTCTTTTATCATTTACATTTATTTTCTAATAATTACGATGATAATTGTTTTTTCATTATAATTTTTTAAAAATTAATACTTTAGATAATGCTACACAATACACTCGATGAAGAGAAAGTACAATTAAACATCATTTGTTTCCATTTAATAAAGATTTGTATCTGAATAGTTTAAAGTTTAGACGTTAGACCATTAAATGTATTTATTTTTATCAAAATGAACACCCTTTATCATACATTAAGAACCATTTCAATTAAGTGAAATATATTAAAAACTAAAATGAACATATTTATTATACATTAAGGACCATTTCAATCAAATGAAAAACATTAGGAACCAAAATAAAGTATTACTAATACATTAAAGACTATTTTAGTCATTTTCTCTAGTTTTGCAAAACTATGGCGAAAATTTATGAATTTCTGTTGTGAAAATGAGAGAGAGAGTGTGTTATTGTAATAATTTTATGAAGTTTTGAATTCCAGAGAGTTTATATTTTGATGATTTACAGTAACATTTGAATTGACTTTAAAATTAATTAAATTTATTTTTAAGCAATTTTTGACTTTTGGAAGTGTTTGACAAATATAAAAATAACTTAAAATAGGTTTAAAATGACTTAAAATAAACTATAAACCAAAAGTAGATCTCTTCTTACTTTTTTGTTTTTTTGATTGAAAAATAATTTAAGTTTGACTTTTTTATTTTTGACTTAAAAACTACTTGAAACTGTTTGTACTTTTTGGTATTCTATTTTTTCTTTTGTATTTTTTTTTTAATTTAAATTTGTCTTCTAGGCTAATTTGGATGGAACCATTGGCACATTATTTTCCATGAGGTCCATTCAAATTTGGCTGTTAGTTTTGCTTAGGTGGATTTTGCATTTTGTCTATAAATAATTGTAATTGGTGCGTGTATAGTGGTTTGAGATTTTTTCTCTCTCGTCTTATTCGATTGTTTGTCTTTTTTTTTTATTTTTTATTTTTAAAAAAAACATTCTATTTCTTTTTTCACTTCATATTATCATATATCGACATCTTTTTTTTATTGGTAAATACTAAATAAATTTATCACCACAAGTAGTCTCATCACTCAGTCAAAATACCCGTCACACCTCTATAAGTAAAATATCTCAGAATTAAATTCTCCCTTACAAAATACTCCGTTGGTTTATCCAGAATTAATTTGACCAACTTTCAGATATTAATTTGATATTTTAAAATTAAAATATATATTGTCAAAAATTATATAGAAAATATTATATTGCATTTTTTCTTATAACTTAAAATGTTGATAAAAAGTTGAGAGAGCTTAACCTCTAAAAAAGGAAATTTGTAACAATTAAAAAGGAACAAAGAGAGTATATCTTTACTCAGAGGCGGAGCTAGGTGGAGGTTCATGGGTTCGAACGAACCCGATAGCTTTTCCGTAGACCTTGTAATTGTACTAAAAAATTAATTAAATATATATGTATATTAATTTGTGAACCCTAACAATATTGATTGATGGTTCTAAAGAAAAATTTAGAACAACAAACTCTTAATCTTAGCTCCGCCTCTGTCTTTACCTTTTGGTGTGTGTGTGGGGCACAAAAATGTCATGCAGAAATTGTGTTAACAAGAAAAAAATTGCAATATCTTGGTAACCCGAGAAACACGTATAGAGTATACTCCTCAAGTCAACAAAGAGCAATTTAATTACTTCATCAAAAATTTGTGTCTCTAATTATTGATCTGAATTTCATTACAACTCATGGAAGGTGTAGCTTTAGTACTTTCACTTCTCCTTATTGTTGTTAATTTAGATGGATTTTCTTGTGTTTATTCAGGAAGTCATTGCATTGAGAGTGAAAAAAATGCTCTTATTAAGTTCAGCCAAGGTTTCAAGAATCCGTCACAAAGTATGTTATCTTGGATGTTTGACGAAAACTGCTGCAGCTGGAAAGGTGTTGAATGTGACAACAAAACCGGGCACGTGATCACTCTTGATCTACATAAGCAATTCTTGCAAGGTGAGTTCAGGACTTCTTTACTTGGTTTGCCTCATTTAAGGCACTTAGACATGAGCCACATTGATTTCCTTGGGGAACGGATTCCTGAGTTTATTTCCAGTTTTAAGGACCTGGAGTATCTCAATTTGTCTAAAACGAATTTTAGGGGAATGATTCCTGAACATCTTGGGAATCTGTCGCGGTTGCAGTTTCTTGATCTGAGTGGTGATTTTTCACTCCAGGTTAATAACCTTGAATGGATTCACTCCCTCTTCTCTATGAAGATTCTTGATTTGAGTGGTGTTGACATGAGAAACGCGGAAAACTGGCTACATGACATCAATTTGTTAAGTTCTCTCTCTGAATTACGTTTGTCTGCTTGTCAGCTTACTACATTTCCTGAATTGCTTCCGACTTCTGTGAATTTCACATCCCTTCGGATTCTTGATCTTTCATTAAACTATTTTAATACTAGGATTCCTAGCTGGTTGTTCAACACAAGCCACAATCTTGTTTACCTTAATCTTTCGAGAAGTCAGCTGAACGGTTCACTTCCAAATGCCTTTGGCAACATGCGTTCACTTAGAGTTCTTGATCTTTCTGGGAAGTCTCTCCTAGGCAACAGTCCACATTCGTTTGAGAAAATGAGTTCACTTACGGGCTATTTACCACCAACCCTGCCATCAAAGCTGAAATACTAGGATATTTCTGATAATCAAATGGAAGGTCCTTTAGCAAGAAGCATCACACAACTTAAGCAATTAGTTGTCCTCAATGTTGCTCGGAACTCTTTCAAGGACTCGATTACAGAACATTTCTTGAATATAACTCATTTGAGAGTGTTAGACTTGTCATCTAACTCATTTATTTTCAATGTAAGCGCAACTTGGATGCCTCGTTTTCAACTTGACTCTCTAAGCCTGCAGTTTTGCGGACTTGGTGCACAGTTTCCCCAGTGGATTCAGACACAAAAAGAGTTGTCATTTATTGATATCTCTCGCACCGATATCTCAGGTGAAGTGCCCGATTGGTTCTGGAATTTTTCTGCCAAGGTTTATCACATAGACCTTTCAGGAAACAATTTCAGTGGAGAAATCCCTGAATTTACAGAAAGAGTTTGTCTTGCAAAATTGGACCTGAGTGATAACAATTTTCATGGTCCTTTGCCTCATTTTTCACCCAAGATGATGACGTTGATTTTGGCAAGGAATTCGTTTAATGGTACCATTGCCCCTGTATGTGAATCACTTGTCATGAATAACTCTCTGAGTCTTCTAGACCTATCTTCAAATTTTCTATCAGGACAACTTTCAGATTGTTGGAGATATGGGAAGAATCTGCAAGGATTGAATTTAGGCCATAATGATCTATCAGGGGAGATACCTCATTCGATTGGAGATCTTACTAACCTCTTCTTTTTGCAATTGCAGAACAACAGTTTCTCCAAAAATCTTCCTTCATCATTGAAGAACATAACTGGACTAAAAATTCTTGATGTTTCTGAAAATAGTTTATCTGGGAATATACCATTTTGGTTAGGGGAGAATTTACATGCTCTTGAGATTCTTATATTAAGCAGAAACAACTATGACGGAATTATTCCCAGGGAGATTTGCCAGCTTAAATACCTATGTATTTTGGACCTTAGTTCCAACGCACTATCAGGAGTCATTCCAAGGTGTCTTGATAATCTCCACACCATGTCCGGAGAAGAGGAAGCCCCATCCTTTACTAATGGACCCTATGCAAATTACAGGATTCATGGAATGCTCGTTCGTAATGGATACTTTAAGGAGTTCATTTTTAGCTGGCCCCGGATAGCAATTGATCTAGCAAAGAACCATTTATCAGGGGAAATTCCTGTGGAAATCACCAGGCTTACTGCACTGAGGGGCTTGAATTTATCAAGTAACAATTTCAGAGGAGCAATTCCAGGTGACATTCACAACTTGCAACTTTTGGAGTCTCTAGATCTTTCCAGGAATCAGCTGTCATGCTCCTTTCCTCCCCGTATGGGACATCTTATGTTTCTTGAGGTCGCGAATTTTTCTTTCAATGATTTGACAGGAGAAATTCCAGTTGGAGGTCAATTCGCCACCTTTGAGAGTACTTCTTATGTTGGGAATGCAAACTTGTGTGGATTCCCAGTCTCACGATTCTGCTCGGATCATTTACATGAGGACATGGTTCACTGTAGTAACAATAATCAGGAGGTTCAGGCCATTGAACACGAAGAAAACAACAACTGGCTCGATGAATTTTCGTTCTACATTAGTATGGGAATTGGATTCAATACAGGTTTCTGGTTATTTTGGGTTACTTTAATGTTGAAAGAGTCATGGAGATATGCCTATATGAGGTTCCTGGAAAACATGGGCAATAAGATATATGTCTTTGCTGCCATCAGATTGAAAAATATTCAAGCAGCAAAGAGGCTGACAAATTTCCCAAATTAAGCTGCTTCTCTTTACTATTCTCTGTTTCTTTTTTTTCCTTTCTGTCTCTTCTTATATTTTGGTTTTGTATCATCTTTTTAGTTGCAACTTGTTTTGTATCTTATTTTAAATATATATAATATAATGTTTGGTTTTTATGTTACTCAAATTTTATTGTGTTATATGTTAAACTCCTTATGTAATGATGAAAAATGTGATTTTGGGTTAGTAATTGATTTGGTGGAATTGCACATTTACTTTTTTTTTCTTTCCTTATATCCTACCTTTATATATTTACCTTCTAACCTTTTATTTGGTACCCTTCATTATAAGATTATTCTTCAAATTGTTTGTACATAACATTATGAAATAATAGAAGATATATAATCTATTCATTTGTTATCTATATATATATTTTTGAATAAATCGGTTAGGTTTGGGTAAATGATCAAAATGAACACCCTTTTTTCATACATTAATATAACATCCGGCAATTTGAAATAGCTAAGAAGAAGTTTAGAATTTGAAAATTTTCATTTTTGAAAAGGATTTGAAAATCTGGGAAATTTGGCTAAGTATGGAAATCAGTGATTTTTGGCCAACTTTGAGCAGTCATAACTTCCAGATCAGGATGAGTTAGGAGTAGTTCCAGTTATGGTTGTGAATCTTGTGGAATGATCTTTCCAACGCCGCCGAGTTTTCTCAATTCCGAGTTCGTATGAGCGAGT